GGAGTCAATGATGACTCCAAGATCCTTTTCCGCCTCCGTGCTGACAAGAGGGGAGTTCCCTAACCTGTAGGTATGGTGCCGGTTGTTCCTCCCCAGGTGCATCACCTTGCACTTGTCTGTGTTGAAACCCATCCTATTCTCATCCGCCCACCCTTGTAACCTGTCTAGGTCCGATTGTAGCCTGCTTCTTCCTTCTAGTGTGCCCACGTCCCCCCCACATCTTAGTGTCATCAGCAAATGTTTTATAGTTTTAAAAAATATTGTTAGAGGTTTTGTGGCACTAGTGGGTTGGATTTATTATGAAGATTTGTCTTTAGAGAATATAAAATACTTTCCCAGTATCTGTAGTTCATCTTTTCCGAGGTTTGTGTTTTGATCTTTGTGTTATATGAGCAAGACAGAAATTGGAAAAGCAAAACAGAGTTGTTATCACTATCTTCTTTGACAGTACAATAGCAGGTGTTACCTTTTTCTTTTTTAGGGTTTATTTTAACATTTTTATTTTAAACTGACAAGTGCTTTACAGTCTAGTCTTAAGTTTTTGTTGATTTATTCTTTTGCATCTGTATGGTAAACTTTTATTCACTTTCTTTGAATCAGCATTTTTATTAAGATGTTTTTCACACGGTATTTTTAGGAAATGCAAGTGGCTTTGTTTAATCTGCTATATATACCTATTTTTCATCAGTCCAATAAGTACATAAACAGTAATCTAATTGGACATAATATCTTTTAAAAATTCCAATTATTCTTAGTCTAGCCATTGGACACCAGTTAAATCTTTAACACCAGTTAAATATTTTGGCAGCTGATTTTTTTTTTAAATTTTTTTTCCATAACTTGTGTACATGTGTTGAAATAATAGAACTGTATTCTTGAATAATAAAGCAATATTTGTAAAGGGGGCTCTGATAAAAAGGTTCTCCTAGCTTTAAATTTATGTGGTTACAGAGAATCCTAATGATTGGATACTAAAGCAGACTTCCTGGGCTCTACCACAGAGACTTGGTACATGCATATTTACAGCTGATGCAGCTAAAATATTAATGTAATTCAAATGAAACATATTTTAAAGATTAAAAAGCATTTGCAGTCCAAATATGCTATAGTTTAATGCCACTTTAAATATATGATTTCAGAACTTGGAGATGCCTTTTAACCAGATGTGTTGATTCTAGAAGTACGATTTCTCTCATAATACTCACTCTTATACTATGCCTTCAGTCCTTTTACACCATGCTTAACAGTGCTGCTGTACATTAGGCAGTTGGCAGAACTCTAGGTAAATGTTTGCTGCATGGCATCGCCTTGCTTATGATAGCCACAGCATCAGGTTTAGGACCTGGAGGTGTAAAGGAAGAGACTTTTTAGAATGAGGAGAATATGGAAAGGGGGAGGAGAGCAACAGCAGCTTCAAGGTTGAAATGGGGTCGTGGGGAACATTAGTGGGGATCATCCGAAGTTCAGGAGTAAGTGGAATGAAGAGGCTGATGATCTCTGAGCAGTTCTTGCACTTCCTCTAAAAATATGATCCCTAAGTTCCCAGTTTTGCAGATACCTCGAGCACAGTGATGTGCTCAAGAATAGATAAAAAGTTTGACTCCAGCCAGGATCAGGCTCAGCCCTCCTGATTTGCAGTTCTTTACCTTCACTAAAAGCATAGCTGTGTTCCTGAGTTTGTTTGCAAATTCATTTATTAGATTTGTATGCTGCACTTTTCAAGAAGATGACTTAAAAAAGATAACATACAGGGCAGCTTACAGTACAACACAAAAACAGAATAAAATATTAAACTAAGAAAGTATAATCAAGCAACTTCCCCTGCCTTCCTCAGTTTCCCCTCTCTCCCCACCCCACCCCCCAAAAAAATCCAAAGTAAACCACTGACTCCACCCCTCCTGGTCCCTTTCCTCTGATCTAGGAGTGTGCCAATGTGCAACCCAACCTTGCTGCCCATCTACTGCTTTCACATAGACTCCCCACCCCAATATCCCCTTGGTAAATTTGGGAATAGTTTACCACAAGCCAAAAATTCACCTGTTCCATCCTAAATAAAATACTTGAACTAAGGATGTCAAACTCACCTGGCCCCACAGGCCAGAATATGACTGGGGCTCTCCTCATTGGCTGGGTCAGGATGCATCCCACCCTAAAAATTCATGGCCTCTCTGGGATCCTCTCATGCCAGATGACACAGCTTCATGGGCCATATGTTTGATCTCCAAATAATATTAAAAAATCTGCAAGGTATATAACATGTACATATTATTTATTCATTTGAAGGATTAAAATAATTCAAGTTAGTATCAAAATTTCACTGGGCCTGGGATTTTGCCCATATTATCAACTGAGATGCATTATATTGAGCTTATACTCTCAAAATATTTGTTGGAGGATATTTTTGGTATTCTACGATCATTTGGAAGTAGTGTTATGAAATGTAGTAAACTGTATTACTGGTCATAAATGTAAGAGCACAACCACACTGTTGAATTGTAACAGTCTTTTTAATTTACTTTCCTATAAAAGTGTTTCCTGTGTAGTTGTTTTCTGTATGTTTTTTGCTCTTTACATACCCAGCCATGCGTAACTTTTTATTTTCCTTTCAACAGGTAGAGAAAATTGTTGACAAGAGAAAAAACAAGAAGGGAAAAACAGAATATTTAGTACGATGGAAAGGATACGACAGCGAAGATGACACCTGGGAACCAGAACAGCACCTTGTGAATTGTGAGGAATATATACATGAATTTAATAGACGCCACAACGAAAAGCAAAAGGAAAGCACATTAACCCGGACAAATAGGACCTCTCCTAATAATGCCAGAAAACAAATATCTAGGTCTACCAATAGTTCTTTTTCAAAGACATCTCCTAAATCTTTGGTGATTGGTAAAGACCATGAGTCAAAAAATAATCAATTGTTCACTGCCACACAGAAGTTTCGGAAAAACAATTCACCATCTCTTTCTGGCAGGAAAAATATGGACCTTGCAAAATCAGGTATCAAAATCCTTGTGCCCAAAAGTCCCATTAAGAGCAGGACAGCAGTTGATGGCTTTCAGAATGACAGCCCTGATAAATTGGACCACATAGAGCAGGATCAAGAAGACTCTGTAGCACCAGAAGTAGCAGCAGAAAAACCAGTGGGAGCTTTATTAGGACCTGGTGCAGAGCGTGCTAGGATGGGGAGCCGGCCAAGGATACATCCACTAGTGCCACAGCTACCAGTGCCAGTAACAGCCACAATTGCATCAGCATTAACAATAAATGGAAAAGGTAAGTTTAGAAGTTAACTGTCTACATGGATTATATGTTAAGTTGGGCTCGCTCTCTTTTTTTTTTTTTTTTTTTTTTTTTTAAATTCACGTGCAAACAGTTATTCATTCAGCCGACCTGTTTTACCCATATTAAACCAAATCTAAAGAGTTTCACAACTCCTTTATTTTTAAATAGCTATGAATGAAAAAGCCTTTTAGAATGTTTCCAGCTTTTACAGGCAGTCCTCAGATTTATGACATAATTGGTTCCTGAAAACCACGTCTTAAGTCGAAACGTTCTAACTCAGAACTAATTTGCCCATAGGAAACAATGTTATAAATGGGGGATTGGTTCCTGAACCAAGGCCCGATACCCTATTTTCACCAAAAATAACTCAGAATTTTGTACCCAAACAATTATAGATGAGTAATATAACTACTTTAATGTATTTATATTGTAAATAGCAATCATATTGATTTGGAAGGACTTCTTTGAGGAGACTTTGCTGGATGTTTTGAAGGGCTCTTGGTTGGACTTTTTGAAGGGTTCTTGGCTGGAGTCTTCTCAGGAGACTTGGCTGCAGGTTTTTCTGGAGTCTTGTCTGCTTTCTTAAAGAAAGTGTCCAAGGAAGTTTGGACAGATGTTCTTCAGGGAGATGGGTGATGCAGCAAACTTGTTCGCTGGCATGGCTTGGCGTCAGATCAAGTGTTGTAAAGTTGAAACTGATGTCAGAAGGTTGAAACAGTGTGTCAGTTTATAAACACTGTAAGTGCGAAACGTTGTAAGTCCAGGACTGCCTGTACTTTTTTTGCTGAGATCCATTGACAATTTGTGTTTTCAGAATCAGCATAAGATACATCTGTGTTTGACTTAACATTCAGTGTGCCATTCCCAAAGATTACACCATTGCTTTTGAATTGCTTTAATTTTTTCTAAATAGGTTAAAGACTCAAATTTGTCATGAATGCTAGGAATATAAATGATGGGAATAGACATGTGATTTTAATAGGGATTCTTTACTGTGGTTTACATTCTATTTTGCCTAACTGTTGTTTGGAATGAACCCAGGAGAATTATGTTTTAAGAATAACATTCTTGTGTTTTGTGCCTATGCAAATTTGAGTCAATTGGGCAGATGAAAATGCTTGCTTTCTGGACTGAATTCAGTCTTGCCTTTTCTTTTCATAGTTTATCAATATGTGTCTGTATATCTCATTTTATATTTAAGACTCCATTTAGATATAAGGCCAAACTTCTTCTAATATCTCAGTTAGTTTTGCAAAATTGTACTACCGAAAAAAGCTGCTTCTCTTTTTGCAACTGAGCCCTCTGTTTAAATCTCCCCTGTTCACTGTTTTGCTCCTGAAGATCTTTGATTTCTTAGCAAGGCAAACATCCCAAACAATTATAAACATGTTCGTACCGTTGTGTACAATCATATTCTTACGACTGTATTTTTAGGACTCAAATTTCAAAAGAGTAATAGTGCATCTCCAAACAGAATGTGAAGTCAGAATATGGACAGGAGACAAAAATGTTTAAAATCCAAATCAGGATTACCAAAAAGTGCAGTTACAGGCACAGCATATGGGCACAAAATGTGTGTGAGGTCTCTGCAGCTGTCAGTGCCCGGTGCCTTGATTTTTATTCAAATTTTCAGAAAACCTGGCCACAGCAAGAGTGGTTGGAAGGAGATGGGCAATGAGGAACCCACTCTGGGATCTCCAGTGTCAGGTCATAGATCAGCCATTATACTGCAGATGAGCTAGGTAACCATGGTAATGCACATATTGGTGCCAGGAATATCTTTTCATGGGCATGGACAGAGGAGGAACATAAACCTCACAGGACACAAATAGGAGCTGGAGAAAAACTCAGGATATGCCAGTATATAGAACTGATGTCCAGGGGCTTTGTGATGGATGCTATGTGAGGCTAAAGTATGTGCATTGTTGGTATCTGCAGACAGAGGACAGTGTCCTATCTTCAGCATGGTCACCTCCTACCTTTCAGAGCAAGGAGCAGGATCAACAAAGATCCCAGTAAGGCAAAATCACTGGCTACAAATGGCAAAAGTGTCTAGCATTCAGATCTCAGAGGTGGTAGCATAGGCCATATGACAGACAGTATAGCACCGTAAGTATAAATGGGGAGATAAATGAATGGAATTGTGAGGAAAGGAAATCAAGGACTCTTTTTTGTGGAGGAAGAGGGCATGTCAGATTTGCTTAGTTGTAGGTTTCCTTATCTCATTTCCTCAACTGCTGTCCTCTGGTTCAGCCTTTTTAAGACAGCTAGCCAGAAAACCAATACACTACCATGTCAGCACAAAGCCACCTCATGACTGTCATGATCATGGCAGTGCATGACTTGTATCTCCTTTATCTCTCTTCACAGGGGAAAATATATAGGACCAACAAAAATCCCACAGATGGATACAACAGTGTTTTAAAACAGACTTATTATTGGAGCTGGTCTGGAATCTTTCATCAGTCTTTTTGTCAGAAAAGACAAATCCATCAAACCGAAAATGGTTGTCAGAGGAGTAGGGTTGGAATGGTGTTGTACCCATGAGGGTCCAAGAAATGTCTGAGAAGCAAGGATTTTTGTGTGATATCTTTTATTGGGCCAGCTGTATAATTGGGAGAGCTGTTGGACATGTGCCCTTCCTCAGGTCTGAGGAAAGCAGACACAGACTGAGCTAAATATCAGAGAAAAGACTTCATGAAATGCCGAACAGTCTGCTTGAAGGAATGGAGGAGGTGAACTGGGCGTGAAAAAATGCCATTATGAGTTGCAAGAATTGCAGTAGAACAGGCAGCCTGGGGGGGAGACTGTTCAAGAATGGGGTACTCTTCTGTCATGTCTTTTCTTAATTTTATCTCCAAGGTGATTGAATGTTTTATCTAAAATTGCTGCGTCTCCTCCAGTTTCACCAAGGAAGGCAGGAGGAGTTACTTAGCTAGGAAAAAGGCAGAGCTGAAAGACAGAATTTTGTAGTGGAGAAAGTCAGCCAAGTAATAAGATTTCCAACCAGAGATCTGCAGTGAGAGTAAGAATGACAGGCAACAGAGATTGGGACAAAATGAGGGCTAAAAGTTGGCAAAATGGACCCAGAGTTGGGCAAAAGAATTAGAAGTGGTCAAAACTGATGAACTGGAATTCACAGAAGAGCTGAGAGGCCTGGGCAAATGTCCAGCCGTCACTTCTGAAAGTGGTGAACAACAGAAGTTGTGCTTGTATCAGTGCATTCCCCAGTGAGTTTGGTTTATAGGATTAAGCATGTCCTCTGGCTGAGCATAAGGGAAAGGTACTGTTAAGGAGGGTTCAAATACCTCAGTGGCCTGCTACAACCCCTTAACTGTGGCCACATTGCAGAAGGGTAATGCTTACCTGTGTGGTTTTGTGGTTCCCTCTCAGAGCAGTGAAAACGAGGAAATCATTGACAAAACACATTTCTTCAATTTCCACTAGACTCTTGTTTTCAGGCAGCCAGCAGACCAGCTGGTCTGCTGCTTTCTGCTGCTCCCTAGAGCCATCCATCCTGCCTGTTGTGTAATTAGTATTTGCCCCACACATGACTGAACAGATCCTGTCAATTATCTTGTCCCTTGAGGCCCACATTAACAGTTGGAGTATTTCAAAATGGCAGCCGCACCGCTATGAGGTAAGGTTTTAATGATTGCCGAAAGTATTTTAGATGCAAATTAACCCAGATTTGTTCCTGTAACATAGATGAGCACTTGTGAGGAATGGTTGGTTAAAAAATACTCTTCAGAATGTAGAAAGATCGCAGTTTTCCACAATTTCAGCTGTAGGCCTCTTCTAGCCATTGAGATGGAAATTTAAAAAGTTCTGTAAAATGCAGGCTTTGAACGCCAATTTGTGGTAAAGGCAGCGAGTCCGCACTTTGCTGTAAGACCCTTTTTCCATATACACAACCAGAAACCTGGGAAGCAGAGTCTTTTTGAACAACTCCACAACAAAATGATTGGGCCAGTCAGGGCAGGGTGTGGTACCTTAGAAACCAACCAATTCAGAAAGGTATAAGTTTTTGTAGGCAATAGCCTATGTTATCAGATTCCGTGAATGCCATTCACAGAATCTAACAAAGTAGGCTGTCACCTACAAAAGCTCACGCCTCTCTGAACTAGTTAGTATCTAAGGTATCACCCTGCCATGCTTTCTGCCTGACTTCAGACTAACACAGCTCTATTCATGAATAGCAAGCTTTTTATGCTTATAATCTCTGGGTTGATTCTGTTACTGAATAGTACAAGTTAATTTGTAATACAGATTAAAACTGGTTTTCTTGCATACAGTTAGATAAAATGAACCTAAAAGCATTCAGGGATTGTATGGCTTGCTTCTTCCTGGCCTTGGCTTGAGAAGCATGTGCAGAAACATTTAAGGGTCATTTTTAATGCTGTGCAAATCTGTTACTTCTTGTAATTGAAGTGGTTAGCTCTGTTAATCTGAAGTCAGTCAGAAGGCATGGTAGATATGCACCTTTATAGATTAGAGTGAGAGCATAAGCTTTCATAGATCAAAATTAACTTCATTAGAGGCTTCACATGCTTGCCGTTCCCCTGAAGGTTGAGTACCGTATATTTCAAATAGTGTCCAACAGAAATGTTTTTGAAGTCCAGTGATTTTTTTAATTCTTCAGTACCAATGGCTTTTGAGAGATCCCACCATCTTATTTCCAGCAAGATTTCATTAGCAACAAAATGTCCTTAATGCTAGCTTTAATAACATTCACACACTTATTGTTTTGTGGGGAAAATTTGGAGTCAAAGTATCATACATTAATTATGCTTTATCCACACCAAAGCATAAGTACATATCATGGTAAGCCTATTTCTCGGGAGATGCTGTGTAGTTAAATGTATTGGTTTAAGCAGAAAATATGTAGCAGCTGACTTGAAAATCAAGAACTGCCCTTCCCTTCCCCCATAATTTGTATTATACAAAAACTATTAAATTATGTCACTATTCCAGTGACAACAGTAATTCTA